CCCAGCCCACTGGGAGCCATTATCAACTATAAAATCTCAGTACTTTGTAATCAACTTCACTAGGTAATCAGAGCCAGGCAAAAACAAGGAACCAGCTAAGGCTTTGGAGACAAGCAGGGGTAAGAGCGTGTTCCTTAGGGAAGGGAAACAGTGAGCTGTAGGGCAGAGGTATGGTAGTGAGCTTCTTCTGACCACTCAAGGTTAGCAGGAGAAGAGCTCTGGGAGCAGTGGATTGATTTCATTTGCTCAGCTTTTACCAGCTTCAAGGTCCCAGCCTAATCGCCATGGTGGGTCATGGTATAAGTCATCCTTCTCGGGTTCTATTTGTTATTCTAATAAAGACCTGGATAAATCTAAGACAGGGCAACAGACACTCAAATTTTACTTTAATTTTAGATTCATTTCTGTTTTTACCCATGTGTTTGTCCGTATGTATGTATGTATGTATGTATGTATGTATATATGCATACCATGTATGTGCTTGGTACCTGGGGAGATCAAAGTCAGCACTGCATTCCCTGGATTAGAGTCACAAAAGGTTACACATGGCCATGCAGGTGCTGGGGACACAACCCAGATCCCTCCACAAGAACAGCAAGTGCTCTTACTGCAGAGCCATCTCTTCTGCCCCATACGCAATCATTATCGGAAGGGTGATGGACGATGTCTGTGGTGTGCTTTGCCCTGGCCTGAACTGTTTCGCCTGCTGCAGAAGGACAGATAAGACTTCAAGGGGACTTAAGAGGCAGACGATGTGGAAGGAGGGCCAGTGCTGGCCCAGACAATCCCTGCAGAAGACGACAGCCAGTCTCCATAGTTTACAGATTATAGAAATTAAAAAAAAAAAAAAATAAAACACCTTTATTTTGGGAAATCTCAAATATGTTCACAGTAGAACAATATTAAGAACTCTCACATATTTCTCATTCAGAATCAATTATTACAAGGGTGGATCTTGGTCTCCTTTATACTCCGGATCCTGCTTCCAACCTCTCTGGACTATCCAGAAGTGAATTCCAGCTACCAAAATGGTATTTGCAAACATTTCAGTCCACAGCCTAGATTCTAGAAAACCTCCTACTCATGATCTTATTAGTACTACTAAAAATTTCTGACAGAAGTTTTCCAACATCAAATGCTTTTTGTTCAAATTTCCAGTTCCTCCATAAGAGTCAGAAAGGTTTTGGAATTTAAAAAAATGATATCATACCAGAAATATGCTTAAAGAAACAAACCCTTACTTCTTTAGTGAGTCAGCACTGTGTGGGGCCTGGTAACACACACCTGCAATCCCCAGTAGCCTGGGCTGGCTATGTGGTGAGATGCTATCTCAAAAACCCCAGGGCAGCAGCAGTAGGATAAGAAAGGCGAACTGAGATTCACAGCACAAGGTGGCCACACATGTATCACTTGCTTTTCAGGTAAACAGGGTGGAAACATTTCAGGTTACTCACTACAAGGAACCTTTATCTCCTTGTTTTGCTCTTGGAGTATCTGATTAAGTATGTGGCAAAATACTCATTATTTATAGGTGTGAATACCTCAACATAAGCACATTTAAAGTATTTAAAGAAACAGGTTTAAAACAAAATACCACTTCAAAATATACTTGAATTCGTATATATACTCCACGATCTCCTTCTTCATTCCATCCCAACTTCATGTCAGTTTTAAAAAATAACCCACTGAGTCTAAATAGTGCTGCACATATGCACATGACGGTTGGTAAACAAACAAACAAACTTCAGATGGTGAGGCGGGGCCTCACTGTGGCTCAGGTTGTCCTGGATTCACACTTCCCCCAGCCTGCCCATTGCTGGGGTTACAGGTGTGTGCCTCTACACGTGGCTCAGAACAGACAACGTGTTTGTGCAGAATAATGACTAGGGAACACAGCATTTGAAAGTCACAGAATCCCATGGAAAGTGGCAATCCTTTTCCTTAGTGCTATCCTCTTCTTGGCAAATCTATGAATCTGCTCATAGAGCAGCAGTGTTACTCCACATCAGAGGACAACATGTGGGAGTTGCTTCCTTCTCTCCACCATGTGGGTTGAGGGGGGGCAAACTCAGGTCCTCAGGTGAGCTGGCTCAGGAGCTTTTGATCTCAGGAGCTGGCTCAAAATCAGCTTCTGTTTTCTAACAAGAGCAACTTAAGGAGGACACAGAGCACCAGCCTAACAAGATATAACATCTTCCCCCAGCACCCCTGAGAATCTCTGTGCAGCTCTGGCTGTCCTGGAACTCAGCTCTGTAGACTAGAGCTAGTCTCAAACTCAGAGATCCATCTGTGCTGGGACTACCACTACCACTGCCTGGCTCGTTGGTTTTTTTTTTTTTTTTTTTTTTTTGAGACTGTGTGGCATTGTATAACCGAGGCTGTCCTTGAAGCATTATTTCTGCCTCAGCCACATCACTGACACCTGTGGGCATTTGCTTTTCAATGTCAAAATTTTTGAAATTGACAGCTATAACTTATGAGAGGAGGATGAAAATGATGAAGAGATATGAGCCCATGGACTAAGGGTAAGCATCTTTCAGGTTCATTAAATATACATCATTGATTCACACAAGATGATCTTATTTATTCATATTCTATCAAGCTTATATTTTTGATAATTTAAAGATCAGTTAGACTTAAGTTCAATTTATGTTGAAGGAGGAAAAAACTCATTCAGAGGTTGAAAATAACTTCAGATAACACGAACAAGCCCACTAAAGACTGGGCGCTGAATCTGTTTAAGGGAGATGACTTTTATGTTGAAGGAGGAAAAAACTACAGGGGGGGAAAAAAACCCAAAAAAAAAAAAAAAGCCCTAAGCTGGGCACTTCTGTTGGAGATGATTGTGCTGAGCACTCTTGAGGCAGGTTCCTCCTATAATGGCCCAGACTACTCAAGCTTGAGGAGATCTTCCTGCTTCCATCTCCTAAATGCTGAAGTTACAGGGATGAGGTGTACCATGCCTCAGTGACATCTTTCTTTAAGAATCAGAGCCAGGGTGATGTGCACCCTTGTAATCCCAGCACTTGGGAAGATGAAGAGAAGGCTCAGGAGTTCAAGGTTATCTTTGGCCACATAGTGAGTTTAAAGCTAGCCTGAGCTATACAAGATGCAATATCAAAGAGCCAAAATCAAACTGAACTCTACTGAAAGAACCCAGGAATGCCAACATTCATAAAGTGGAGTGTCACTCGGGAGGTCTTAGATGCACCAGAATGTGATGGTTAGCATGTGTCACAAACTGTCCCAGTCTCTTTTAAAATTATTTTTTATGTGTTTGGGTGTTTCCCTTGCATGTACATCTGTGTACCACTTACTACAGATGGTTGTGAGCTGCCACGTGAGTGCTGGGAACCAAACCAGGGTCCTTGAAAGAGCTGTCAGTGTTCTTAATCCCCCTTCTAGGCTCCTATCACAAAAGAGGTTCACCTTTTAAGGAACACTATTATTTTCTGGCCTGATATTCCTACTGAACAGCAGTATTAAAGAAAAAAATGTATTGCTTCTTTAGTGGGGATGAGATGGGTCTGACAGGGTCTCTCAGTCCTGCTTCAGCCTCCTAGGTGAATGCAGTGATTACAGATGTGTGCCAGCATCTGTGATGCAGGCCTGCATCCCTGGCTCAGAATATGAGCTTTTTCTTTGGTCAGGAGTGAGCTTTAGCTTTATAAACAATGGATCTTTAAATTTTTGAGACACAGCAACACCAACCAAAGGAGCGAACAAACATAAACCAATCGATTAACCAAAGTTCCAGCCCCCCTCTCACTGGACGATTTATTGGCAGCCATCTCTTTAGACAGAGGCGGACGAGTTCAGGGGACCTGTTCTGAAAGCAGGTGTTCACTGCTGATTTGGGGTAAACAGGCCACAAATCATCAAAACAAAAGCAACAATAAAGAAAGCTTCCTTGCAACATCACCTCTCAGTAATGTCATACATGTGACAGACAGCAATGGGTACAGCCACGAGGGGGTGGGCCTGCACTAACAGTCAACTCTCACAGTGCCATCTGATTGGACTTTGCTATCTACCTGGTGAACTAACAAAAAACATTTCACAATAGCCTTACACAGGAGATGGGATTTCATGGCAATTAATAAGACGCCGAAAAATGAAAGTTTCATGGAGAGCATGAACAAAAACTACTCTGGGATTTCTGTATTTCCCAGAGTAAACCCACATATGAGCACAGTCCATAAGCTGGTTTGCCCTGTAGGCAAAGCAAGGTTATCAAAGGCACATGATCACATGCAGAGGAAGAGGCAGACTGAGAACCTGAGTTGAGTGCAAAGCTCAGCGGTGAGCCAAGGAGTGCTGCCAGCCACCTTAGTTTCCTTGTTTCCTGGCAAGCCCTGCTTCCTGATTCAGATCTGTTCAGCTTTTTGCTAACAGCTTATCAGGGCGCACGGCTGCTACTGCATTGGAGGTCACACCTGTGTGGTGCTGCCTTGGTTGTCATAAGATTTTAATAGCCCACATCTCTCAAATTAACATGTCTATTATGCATATGATTAAAGATTAAGCTATTCAATTTGGATTTTTATTATTATGTGGTAGGAGAATTTAATGTATTCTAAAATGTACTTTTCTCATTTAAAATGAGTTTTCATTAATTTTTATCATATTTTGCTTTAATTTTGTTTTGTAAATAATAGGTTCAAAAAAAAAAAAAGTAAATGGAAAGAACCAATTTTAAAATAACACAGTTGCCGGGCACACACCTTTAATCCCATCACTTGGGAGGCAGAGGCAGGCGGTATCTGTGGGCTCCAGGCCAGACTGGTCTACAGAGCTAGTTAAAAGCAATACAGAGAAACCCCGTCTCAAAAAACCAAACAACAACAACAACAATGACAAAAAAGAACACAGTTATACCATTCAGCATGGAAAGTTAAATCAACAGTAATGAAGAGCTGGGGTAGGGAGCACTAGCAGCAGCACAGGTTCAAGGGCAACCTTGGGCTTCTCAGTCTGGTACCCGATCCAGGGCCACTCACCAGGGTTGCAGTCTGTGAGGAGTGAGCAGATGGACAGGAGGACTTTAGAGATGGTCAGGGCTGGACTCCAGTTGTCCTTGAGGATGTCCAGACAGATCACCCCTTGGCTGTTGATATTACAGTGGTAGATTCTCGTTCGGAAGGTGACCTGGGAGAAAGTATAAAATTGCCATAAGTGGAGATGGCTAAGGTTCAGGCTGAAGTTTTTAATAGGTATACGAAAATTATCAATAGATTAAAAATAAAGATAATTTATGACAGAAAACAGAGCACTCATAGAATCTGTACTCTGCTTCTGGTGTAGCTGAGGAGTTTAGCTTCATGTAACCACAGGATGTTTATGAGCAGGAAATGGGCCCTGACTTCTGAAATGTTTTAAAAACTTTTGGTGGATTTTAGTTACTTTATGTTTTACATTTAGAAGATCCAAAAAAAACCAGAATACTTGGGAATAATACAATGAAGACAGATGTTCTTTAATACAGTTTTAAAGCATGAATGAGGGTATGTAAACATATCACATGTCTCTTGTATACAATTGTATGTTAAAACTGTATTTTTTGGAAACAGATGCAGAGATCTAAGCACTGGGCCGAACCTCTGGAGTCCAGTTATAGAAAGGGAGGAGTGACAATATGAGCAAAGGGGTCAAGACTATGATTGGGAAACCCACAGAAACAGCTGACCTGAGCCAGTGGGAGCTCACTGACTCTGGACTGACAGCTGGGGAACCTGCATAAGACTGAACTAGGCCCCCTAAATGTGGGTGTCAGTTGGGGGGTTTGGGCAGCCTATGGGGCCTCTGGCAGTGGGACCGGGATTTATCCCTAGGGCATGAACTGGTTTTCTGGAGCCCATTTCCTACAGAGGGATACCTTGCTTTGCCTAGATACTGGGAGGGGGTTGGGAAGGTCTTGATCATGCCTCAACATGATGTAACAGACTTTGTTTATTCCCCATGGGAGGCCCCACTCCCTTTGAGGAGTAGATGGGGGCTGGAGGTGTGTGGGGAAGGCAGGAGGAGGGGAGGGAGGGGGAAGTGGGATTGGCACATAAAATAAGACTGTTTAAAAAAATACCTAAAAAAGGCATTTGTTATAATTTATTATTACTGTATTGTTATAATTCACAAAGCTATTCCTTATTAAATTATATATTTTGAATGTATTATTAATAGTATTTTCCTATGATAGTAACGTCATCATCATTATACTTGCCTTAAATTTAATTTGGAAAGTTATGATGTGAAAATATTCTCGGGAGGAACGTGACTCTGGTTAAGAGCACTTTTGTTCTTACAGAGGCCCCTGTAAGACTCTGGTTCTAGGGGATCCAATGCTCTCTTTTGGTCTCCAAGGACACCAGCCATACACATGGTACACATATATGTATGTACACACAACATATACATATAAAGTAAAATAAAAACCTTAAAAAATCTAATATTGAAAACAAGCCCAGCTCAGTTTTGACTAAGCAATAGTAAGATTTAAGTGTTACTTATTATGACTACAAATTTCTAAGTGTTCTTAAATTTATAAATAGTGTTCTAAGGATCATTCTGGTACCCTGAATTTATAATTGCTCAGAACCAGGAAAAACACACACGACAGGGAGGCCTCTGTATTTCTGCCAGGAGGCATCCATTCAGACACTGATGTAATTTGTATGATGCCACATTCCAGGAGGGCAGAGTCAACGTGTCAGAGGCTGTTGAATACTATACTCCCATCCTCAGCCTGGATCAGAATCCAGAATCATGCCAGATCACAGTCAATCTCTCTGCCCAACACGATCTCAAATGTCCAAGAAACCTTGAAGTGTCTAGAAGCCTTCTTCAAAAGGCAGGGCTGAATCAGCTGCGAGAATTCCTGGAGGCTACAACTCCAAACCCAAACCTACAGTCAGCACCAAGTAGGCAGTATGTGTGCTGGGCAGGATTTGGGACAAGGAAGGGGCTGAAGGGTGGCAGGCAGTCTTAATAAAGTAAAGCTTTAATTCTGATATCTTTCAAGAAGGCAGATGAGTTCATAGGCCTGTATGTGGTCAGGGATTTGAAAACACAGCCTACACCTCAATCAGGACACTCATCTTTCAGGAAGTCGATGCTTTCTAGGAGAGAGCAAGGGAATGGATAGTGAAAACCTGGTTCTGGACTAGGGAGAAGAACAGATTCATCACACACACACACACACACACACACACACACACACACACACACACACACACACGCAAAGAAGAGCTGACATGACTTTGTGACTATTGGAGCATGACTATGCGCCAAGGATTGTGGTAAGTGGAGAACACAGTATTATGACAGAATGCATCAGGAAAACAACAATTTGGAGTCCGCTATAGTTAAATAGCCAAAAATTATACAGGAAAAACTGGCAGATCAATGAAAAAATAATGTATTTATGATCAAGGAGGAATGCCTTACCACATAACCGTTAGGCCAACCAGACCAAATATTGGTAAGGCTCCTGAAAACTTAAACCACAAATAAAATCAAGGGGCTGGATGATTATAAACACTACATTTGAAAATTAAAGAATGCATATTACTGTCAATCATGTATGAAACACTTACAAACACTAACTACATGCTGAGGCATAGAGCAAACCTATGGTCTTTCAAATAATGGATATTAAAACCAGAATGCAAGATCAGAATTGACAAAGGAAAGAGCCTCCCTCTGCCTCCCGGCCACGTTTGGAAAATGAAAAATATATTTGCAACTAATTCCCTTTTCTTGTTTCTTTATTTTTTTTTTTTTTTTTTTTTTTTTTAAATAGAATCTAGCTATGAAGCCCAGGCTGGCCCCACATCTATTGGGACACATACTCCTACATACTGTGATTATGAGAAAGACGCCCCACCAAGACCAGATGCAAATATTTCTTTGATTAAATCAAACCAAACCCAATCCTGCAAGACTCAGCTAAATGACCATGCCAAGGTTGGGCTGCCAATATAAACATTTATGTCTCTATCCAAAACAGCAGTCAAACAGACATGTCCTTTTAAATGTATATATTAGAAAGTGAGAAACTCACTATTATGAGTCAAGCATCTGACCTAGAAAAGCAGAATAAGGGGATAAACAACATGAAAGAATAAAGAGATGAGCAGAGGTTAGTGAACACAGACACCTAGCGTTATTAAAATGTCCTCAGAGAAGTCAGACTGCTCATCCTCAAGTGCTAAATGAACAGACATTTTTTTTTCCAATCCATTGTAAATGGAGTGGTTTCTGCATGTGTGACATGGAAAACACCCTATCAAGTATTAATTACTCTGAGTTAATTCTCAAGACAACTCAGTGAGACAAGTATCAAGGTTAGGGAAACCAAGGCTGATGCTCAGTGATGCAGCCCTGGGGCTTCTGCCCTCCCCCAACACTTTACCTTCAATTCTGGGATACTTGTAAATTCTGCTGCAGGAAATAATACTGCGAAGCCACATGCATTCTTTGTCAGCTTCCTATAATGGCAGTTTTTTTTTTTTTTTTTGCAGAAGCACCATACACTGCAGACACAGATATTTATGCAGTTCTTGATTCCTTGGTCTCTCTCTTTTTTTAAAAATCTTATCTCTACACTTATTTCTATATGTATACATGTATGTATTGCCACAGTCAAGATACAGAAGGATCCCATCACAGTGCTATCTTTTGAAAATTTACTCTGACAATTTCATAATTCATATCCTATATCTGGATCATATCCCCTCCCAATCGTCTCTGGGCACTGTCCCAAACATCTGTCTCCCACATTTATGTCCTGTCTTTTTTTTCTTGTAGCATGCCTGATGGAGTGTTGGCTGTCTCGTTGTGTTGATGGTGCAGGTTTCCTTCATGAGTGCAACTGCAAGTCCTATTCCAAGGACAGTACCTCACGGCCCCTCCCACGTCCTCTGCCTCTTACATTCTTTCCACCCCAGTTTCTTTCATGTTCCCTGAGTTCTGGGGATGTTGATACAATGTACAACCTTTTGACAGGCACAACAACTGTCTTCTCTTAGTTCTTTAATTCCTGGCTACCACAGCTGTTTCTTCTGGCTAGAATGCATGGCAAGAATGTTTCAACAATGAAATTATGCACTAAACCTTTCAAATTGTTCCTTTCACTCAACAATCCCCTTGAGAGTGACCACATTGTTATACGTACCAGTAGTTTGTCCTCTATTGCTGAGTAATATTTTATGGCACAAATGTGTCAGTTTGTCACTGTTCTATTGCTGTGAAGAGACACCGTGACCAAGGCAATTCATAAAAGAAAGCATTTAATTGGGTGCTTGCTTACAGTTTCAGAGGGTTAGTCCATTATTATCATGACAGACAGGCATGGTGCTAGAGCAGTGGCTAGTAGATTTATGTCCTAACTCAAAGGCAGCAGGCCTGGCATGGGCTTTTGAAACCTCAAAGTATACCTCCCCCAACAAAGCCACACCTTCTAATCCTTCAGACATAAACCAGGGACTAAGCATGCAAATATATGAGCCAATGGTGGCCATGCTAATTCAAACCACTACAATTACTTACAAAGTAAAGGACATTTGGATTTTCAGAAGACAAAAATAAAAAAATAAAAAGCCAAGAAACCTTCTGTTTTCCTTACTCTCATATAAAATTCAGAATACTTTTATGATTACACATGGGGTGGGAATTACCTCTCAGAAAAAATTATTAGACAGCAGCTGGGTTAATTCAAGTTTGGCAACTATCCTTGCAGGGAAGTCAGATGCCACAGCTTCAAGAATCAGTTCTTTACAGGACTGCTTCCTCCTACCCGGACATCACTTTCCAGTCTGTGCCTGCAGAACTTCTAACCAACTACCTGCAGCCCCTTCCTTGCATCCATTCACCTACTACTTCGGTTTGTGGAACTCAGTAAGTCTGTAGCCATTTCCCAGCTCAGTCATAAATGACATCACAGAGGATGCACAGGGTGTGCAGAAAGGCTGTAGCACTCCTTGGTACACCTGCCTCCATGAGTTGTATGGAACAGAAGCTCCCGAACCCTCACTACCAGGGTTTACTGCCTAGCTATGTCTAGGCCAGTACCTAGACTTACTGGACACTTGCATACTCCAGGTGTTGGCTATCACAACCAATGTTGTTACCATTTACAACCCCAGTGGCATTGT